TCTCTTCCTCCCAATACTCCCCTTTGGATCTTCTTTTACAGGATCAGGTCTTCTTGCCCACTGATGTACCTTCCCAGTGATGTCACTCCCCAGAGATGTTTCTCCACAATGATGTTTCACTCGGTGCCCAGATCGAAACTCCTCGCTGCTTGGTTAGCTCGCGAACAAAGGGCCCACTCTGCTCGCTGCGGGCAGGCTATGGGTACAAAGGAGCTACCGGCCACCCCTTTGTCCTCCCGGGTCGGTCCCAGCGTCCTAGCAGGCTGGGCAGGGAGGCGCTATGCCCCAAAGGAGGGAGAGAGGGAGGGAGTCAGGGCGTGTGGGGATCTGGATGTAAGCTGAATGGGATAGAAATAGAGAGGCGGTTTGGGCAGTATAGCCCCTGTAGGATGGCCTGGAAGTGTGGGCGGGCTGAGGTATGTTCCCAGCTGCCGCAGCACTCACTCACCACAATGATGTTTCACTTGGTGCCCAGATCGAAACTCCGTGCTCCTTGGTTAGCTCGCGAACAAAGGGCCCACCCTGCTCGCTGCGGGCAGGCTATCGCCTCAGATAATCTTAAAGTAGATCTCAGTCCAGTCTGAGTGTGTAAGACTTGAAGCCTGCAGAAATGAGGGAATTAATAAACAGAGTACTAGATTTCTGCAAATTTGATGTGGCCACAACACAAAACTAAGAAAATGAAAGACACAACAAAAGAAATACATGACCATCAGTTAAGAATTTCCACAAACAGTAAAAGTTACTAAAAGCGTGTACTCAAGAGATATAAAACATCATGTATAATATTAAGAGTAAATAACCCAAATTTGTCATAATAAACTATTACAATGCAGAAAATAAGAAATTTGAGGAAAGCAGAGATTAAAGGCTCACTTCACAGAACAAAAAATAACACTCTCTACATAAATACTATGCAAGCCTGAAGACTTGGAAAAAATATATTTCAAATCCATTTCCAAAACATAGAGGCCAACAATTCTGTATAAGTCAGAAAGTCATGAAGAAATCAAAGGAAAACTAGGGGCTTTTCACAAAAACAAATGTTGGGAAAACATTTGAAATAGCTTGAACTGTTAGAGAAAGTCCTTTCAATAAAGAGAATGATTCCTGACAAAATCCTAGATTTATGTAAATTAAGAGTATGAGAAATAATAAATACTAGCAAAATGACTGTCTTAGACAAAGCAATAGTATTATATTGCTTCTTTTGATTTATCTATCTATTTTAATTTCATTTTATTTGTAAGCTGCGGATTGAACACCATAGCAGAATGCAGACTTTAAGCATTACACCTTTTACCCAAAATCAAGCTCCATCAAACGACTACCAGGGAGATGTATGATGATCAAGGGTTGCAAGAACAGTCTGCTGTGAACCATTATAAGCAAATAATACTACAACTGTGTTTAAAACTCCAATATTAAAACCTTAAATAAACCTAAAACTGAAGGAAACAATAAATCAACAATGGAGAGAAACTGGGAGAAAGGAAAACTCCATTAACCCAACACAAAAACTAGAGGGAAGACAAAGAGAAATCCTAACACTGAACACCATCAAAGACATAAAAGATATTTTTAAAGACACACCAAAAAGTTCAAGAATGTTACAATAAAACTTCAGGATCTCAGTGCACGACAGACAGCACTGACGAATAGGAACAGTAATTAATCGATATAATGCTCCACAAGTCTAAAGGATCAATTAAGCCATAATGAAAAATCACCAATTTTGTTTTAAGAAACATATAAAACAAAATTTAAACCACTGTACCTAAGAGCAAATCTCAAAGCTTACCCAGCTGTTTTAAAACTACATCAAATAGATCAGGTACTTCGCCATCAATGGGGAAATACAGGACTTTTAGGGGGGAAAGTAAGAATATAAGACGTTGGTGGTTGACAAAGATGATTTAGTTATTACAGAAGTTATAATCGAAATGCTATTTGAGACACTGAAATTCACAGAAAATAGAAAGTTCTAGCTCTTAACAGGAGAGAGAGCACGAGCAAGGTACTCAGGACCGCGAGAGGTGCACCCACACACTGAGACAATGGGGATGTTCTATTGGGAACTCACCAAGGCCAGCTGGCCTGGGTCTGAAAAAGCATGGAATAAAACCGGACTTGCTGAACATAGCGGACACTGAGGACTACTGAGAACTCAAGAATAATGGCAGTGGGTTTTTGATCCTACTGCACGTACTGGCTTTGTGGAAGCCTAGGCTGTTTGGATGCTCACCTTACTAGACCTGGATGGAGGTGGGTGGTCCTTGGGCTTCCCACAGAGCAGGGAACCCTGATTGCTCTTAGGCTGACGAGGGAGGGGGAGTTGATTGGGGGAGGGGAAGGGAAATGGGAGGCTGTGGCGGGGAGGAGGCAGAAATCTTTAATAATTAATTAATTAATTAATTAATTAATTAATTAAAAAACAGTCTATAGAATAAGACAATGGAATACATGTGGCTGACAACGGGCACCTATGAAGAGTATACTACTAACGCCTACATATTTTAAGAAAAAAAATCCATTTTAAGACACAGGAAGAGTTCAATGACCCATAAACACAGGCAAAAACACTCAGCAGCAATAAAAACGGATATAATTATCTCACCATGATAAAATGTGACAATACCTAGTACTGACACATGAAAAGCATGGGATGTTTCATCATCGCTCCAGAAAGTGCAATGACAGCCACTCTACAAAATCGCTCAGCATTTTCTCATAATTTTAAGTACTTACTTATTATCCTACCAGCAATTTTATTCTTAGTTATTCTTACTCAAAAATAAAAAGAAAAAGAAACGTATTGGCAAGCCCAAGACTTAGGATTACATTATTTGTAATATGCCAAAGCAGGAAAAACTCCAGTGTCTGTCATTGAGAAAACACATAAACTCATAAGTCACAAAGTGGAATGATACTTGGATAATAAATAGGACTAGAACAGTCATGAACAAAGATAAATGAATCAACAAAGTAATAAACCATGTGAAAGAAGAAAGTAAAAAACCAGTACACATCATATGATCCCATCCTTTAAAAACTTTGAATGTAAAATCTAAAATAAAAAGCTGAGAAACACCTAAGCCTTTCCTACTTGCACGGATGGGTAAATTACATATATGACCGTGGAAATTTCTGAGGTGACAAATATATTTTTTCATTCTAATATGCAATGTGGTTTCACTAGGTTATAAACTAGTAAATCTCATTAATATGTAAATTCTTATCATTTTTATTGAGCTTCAGCAATGAAAACAAATGATCTCAATAAAGTTGAAATGAAAATTAACTTGATAAAAGTATAGACACAAAATATTAAGCTCCTTAAAAGTGAATAAAATCAGAAACATATTAAGACTGATACAAAGCAAAATAAGAAGCACTAGTAAGAACCATTTGTTTAAGAAAAACTAAAATTCTGAAAGGAATATTTGATATTCACAGTTTGGAAATGAAAACATGGAAAGAGAACTAAAGGTCCAGCACACTGTGGAAACAGTTTCTGAAGACTCCATTCTATAAAAAAAAATCACACTTGTTTGTAACAATTGGTGTTTTAACCCTGATTCCAATGTTTTAAAAAAATATGAAGCATGGAGAATTTTTGACTTTTTGTACAAGAGTTTGGGCAAAGCCCAAAGACCTCCCTCAAGGCCCTTACTGTCATTATTAAACCTGAAGCTAATTTTGTCAGCTTAGTAGAAGAAGGTGAACAGTTACAGCAGAACTGAGTGTGAAACTCAATTCAAGAATATAAGGTCACAATTTGTGACAGAAGTGAAAGATCATTGTATAAAGAAGTCTTCAGATGAGAGTCAGCCATATTCCTATCCCTGTTTCTTGTTATGCGTTTATCAAAAAGCCATTCCAGCTGGTTATGCAACTCAACAGAGTGAGGAAATGTAAGCAAATACTTACACAACACAAAAGGCAACCACAGGCAAAAACAAAATACCTTGAATATGAATATATATATATATATATATATATATATATATATATATATATATATATATATATATATCTGCTATTGGTCCAAACAGGCCATATTGATAATGAAAAGAAAAAACCCAGCAAAATGGCCAAGGTAAGAGTGAACTGGGATTCTCTTTTCAGCTTTTGAGTCAGCAAACTCTGACAAATGCACAGAAAATCACTTGGCACAGTCTAGTCACAGTAGACAGAAAAGGTAGGCGGCAAGTCCACTCTAAATCTTTCATTTGCCTAAAAGATATACACAGTAGCAGAGCAAATACTCAGAGAATAATAAATACCCATATTGTCATTTACATGATAGCATTATTTGAAATAGATAAAAACTGGAAAACTATAAATGTTTATAAACTTCATAATGTGGGGCACTACATTCTGACTCATTAATCACCACAATGAACTAAAAGCACTGGCTATTTGAGGTTCAATGATACATATCACATAAAATTACACAGACTTATTTTCCTCTTTTGATTTTTCGACAGGGCTTTTCTGTGTAATAATCCTGGCTGTCCTCGTACTTCCTTTGTAGACCAGGCTGCCTCAAACTTAGTGAGATCCGTCTATCTCTGCCTCCCAAGTGCTGCGATTAAATGCACTGCCAAGCTGTTTTATTATTATTATTTTTTCTTTTCAGACTTATTTTCAAAGTTAATGGTTTAAACTGTTATCACTCAGAGATGATCAATTTCTAATATAGTATCTTTCCACATTTGAACTATTAATGGAAATGACAGTATGTGCTACACTACAAATAATTAAAAGTTCTGTGAGCAGTTTTAATCAAGTCACCTCAATCTGCATTTGAAAATAAAATGCTGATTTTTAGCAATTTCTCCAAGACCCATGGTTAGGCAGTTACAAATATCTTAAGAGTATGTAGCTAACTGACATTCCCAAGGATGTTTACTTTAGGTGTTCCCACCACTGAGTATTTCACTGTGTCTTAAAAAGGGAGAATAAAACTGGTAAACAAAGCAAATCTCTATGCATACCTCATATTCTCAGCTGAATCCTCTGGCATTGGGGCTACAGTCTGTACAGCTGGAAGATTTTTGCTGGTAGCACCATTCACAAAACTAGAAGAGGAGGAAGAGGAGGAGGACCCTGAATCCACAGCACCTGTTCCCAAAATAATAATTTTAGTTTTAAATATAAATTCATATAACAAAATAAATTCATTATTTTATTTCTATTTGATTTTCAAACAATAACTCATTAGAATAGCTAACAAGAATTCAACAATTAAAAATTATTTGGTCATTAGTATACTAATAAATTCCATGATTTTAAATAATAGATAATACATTAAAATCCAGTTAACTTATGTTAATCTAAGAAAATTACGTGTTACAAATGGATATAAATAAAAAACATCAACATGAAAAAGTCTAGATTAAATGAGTTTGATAAAACAATGCAAATTTAAATGTGAAAATTTTATCCCCTTTTTATTACTATGTTGCAATATTCTTAAACCTAATGATCTAAGGCAAATTTTCAAAACACTGAGAGCATAATTTTATCATTTTGCAGCATTAAATTCTGACTTTGATAAAATGATTGCTTTAGAAGCCCTATCATGAGTAGAACAGTACCTGATTTTAAAATAACTGGTTCTCCGTAATGATACAAAGATGCCATTTTAGAGACTTTTTTGTAATATGTCATGTGAGTACATTAAACGAGTTGAGGGACATCTAATGTTTCTAAATATTTTATATCTTATTCTAACTCCAACAAAATGAGTTGCTCACTGAATTTCCACTATAATGACTGTATAGTGCCATGGGCTAATATCTAAACTGTACACTGTGCTCAGCATAAATGTTAGCTCATATTTATAGCTCTCTATATATGACCAAGTATTAAGGAGGAAGGTTATTGCTTAGTTTTAATTTTTACTGTAATATATATTTATACTATCAAAACCTTATACTGTTATATATCAATCAGTAATTTTTAAAACAAAAAATACAAGAAAGCATAACTTGGCTTATTCAAAGACAAAAAGGTGATTTAAGCTTTTCGTTTCACTGCAGTCATAAGAAAAAAGGACTTTATTTACTAGACATCACTAAGGACAGATTCTATCACACTGTTAAATTTTTAAAACTGAAAAAATAAACTTACAAAATTTAAAATGCTATTAATGCTGCTCAATGATCGAGACAAGTATATATGTCTAAGAGAGTGTTCTACTTAGTAAACCCCATAAATGTGTGGCTCATGATATGTCAGACTCAGGTGACATGATAAACAAGATAGATACAGAAAGCACAAAAGGGAGCTACAAAATCAATAGAAATGGGAAGAATCTAAGTAATGATAATAAATGGAAAAGTTCAAGGCTATACAGTTTGGAGAACAGAAGACTACTATAGTCAGGGAAGGAAAGTCAGGGATCATCTTGCGTTGTATAAATACCTAAAACGGAATCACAAAGATTTGGGTAAGGATTTATTTATCTAATAATCAATAGGAACATTTCTGGAAATTTGAAAGACAGAGAGAGAGAGACAGAGACAGAGACAGAGAGAGGAGAGAAACAGAGAGAAGAAAAACAGAGACAGAGGAGAGAGACTGATTTTAGTCATATTTTTAAATTGGCACTTTCGATTTCTAGAACCATAGGAAATAGCTGGACAACAAATTGGACACAGGCATAACCTAAGAACATAATTATTCAGTGTGAGGCAGTGGTCCTTGTTCACACGCTCTGTTTACAAAGCTGAGGCTCTTGCAAATCATCAAGGTTCTCAGGGAACTCTACTTTTCCTTGAAGGGTTCAATCCAAAAAACCCATTTTCTAGCACTAATATGTGTGAGCACCTTCACATGCTTTATATAAGTTTGTTTTCACCTGTCACTCTCCAGTACCTAAAACGGCTTTTGCTCCCCAAATGTATTCCAATAATCTGATTGTACCCTGAATGTGGACTATGATGTTCTGAGACAACTCAGAACAAAAGATCAGTACTGTCTCCTGAAACGACCACTGTGTCTGTGTCCTAGAGCCAGCAGCAAGTTCTGAGAAGTTGTCGCACAGAGTGCAGCACACTCAAGACTAAGCTAACCCTAAGTATGTTCTGGGCATTTTAGTTGTTAAGATCACATGGGAAAATGAAGATACGGCAAACGGAGAAAAAAGGATGAAGCTTCACAAAAGTCTATAAGGACGATACCTGTCGTGTTAATCATACTTTTTGGTGTAGCTCCAGGGGCAGCAAATATACTTGAGGTACTGCCTGTTGGCAGCCCACTTCCTGCAGCAGTGGCTCCCACAGTAGTGACAGCTAGACTCCCTGGAGGTGGCTTCTTTACAGGCACCACCACACTCCTGCAGAGAAAAACAGAAAACAAACCCAAAGCATGAGGTAAAGCCTCTTCATAGGATGCAGAGCAGATACCCAAAGCCAACAATGGAGTTCAGCTGAGCTCCCTCCCCTTCTTCCTTTCCTCTCCTTTCCTGACCCTCCACACTGTAAGCCTGCAAACCCAATATTACTGGTGAAAGGAATACAAGACTTAAGCAAACACTGGGAAGCTTATGACAAACACTTATTTAGCAAACACTAGTGTAGAATCTGGAGTTTGTAAATCTTTCTTAAAGTGACAAATTAATCAAAAATTAGAAACAAGTGCTCAGGTTAACACATTTTGCATATGCTTACCAAATAATCTCATGATAAAATGTTCACTTTCTTCTTATTATAGCATCATACATGTAAAATGCCCATAAAATTGGGCTGCCAAAAGTTTACTGGGCTAAAGAGCTTGCCTCACCCACCTGAGAAACCTAACCCCTGAACCCAAGTAAAGAAGCCAGATGTGGTAGCAAGCACCTGTAATTCCAGCACTTCTGAGGTAAGACAGGAGGTGAAGACAGGAGAATCACCCAGAAGCTCAGTGCCCAGTCTGCCTGCATATGCTGTGCAGTCCAGCAGAAACAAGACCCTCTCCTTCCATCAAGTGGAAGGAGAGAACTTATTCCCCAAAGTCCTCAGATTTCCAGGTGGCATGCATACACAAGCACACCACTCTCTAAAAATTTTCATAAAATTATATATAAAAACCACCAAAGTAATATTTGATAGTCAAACTTGAAAATATGATGCTGAAAAATGAAATGTGGAATAGCAAAACACCACAAGGGAATAAAGAACTTGTATTTTAGATTTCTTATTAAAATTGCTTTCTATAACACAAGAAAATTCAGATTATGGCACACATATATAGTTAAAATGTAACTTAACTTTCACGCCATAACTTTTGTAACATAGAAATTCATTATGTTCTCATATTTATTCAACACTTTTAAATGAATTTCATTTAAATTTTTTTCTGAATATCACAATGTCTTTTTTCTTTTTTATTATTTTATTACTTGAAAAACAATCAATCCAAATTCTCACTCCATCCCCTCCTTCCACTCCCTCCCCACACCCTCCCACCCTTCCCCTCTCCAATCCTAAGAGAGGACAATACACCCCGCCCTGTGGCAAGTCCAAGGCCCTCCCTACTACATCTAGGTTGAGCAAGGTATACACCCAAAGAAAATAGGATCCCCAAAAGCCAGTACATGCAGTAGAGAAAAATCCCAGTGCCACTGTGAGTGGCCCCTCAGTCTGCCCCAACTGTCAATCACACTCAGAGGGACTAGTTTGATCCCATGTTCGTTCACTCCCAGTCCAGTTGGAGTTGGTGAGCTCCCATTAGCTCAGACAAACTGTCTCATGGTCTTGACCTCCTTGCTCATATTCTCACTCCTTCCACTCTTCAACTGGAACCTTGGGAGCTCAGTCCAGTGCTCCAATGTGGGTCTCTGCCTCTGATTCAATCTGTTGTTGGATGAAGGTTCTATGGTGATATTTAAGATAATCATCAGTGTGACTATAGGGCAAGACCATTTCAGGCACCCTCTCCACTATTGCTTAGGGTCTCAGCTGGGGTCATCCTAGGGGATTCCTGGGAATTTTTCTAGGGCCAGGTTTCTTGCTAACTCCTCAATCAAGATATCTCTTTCCTTGCTCTCATATCTCTCCTTCCTCCATCTCAACTATCCCATTCCCTCAACTGTCTCTAACTGAAATGATAAACACTTGGGGATATTGTTTAATGTTAAAATATGAATTTCTAAAATATAATCAGTATCTGTATTTTCTTATTATAAAGGCTTATATCTCAAAATTTATAGCACTTCAAACTTTTTAAAATTTTTTAAAGTTTTCCAAACTTTCATAAATATCTCCCAAGCACTATCCAACTATGATTGATTTTACAGAAAAAGATCCATAAAATAATTTACGCTCAAACGCAAATGACGAAAAATAGTGACTGAGAGCATGAAAATCTTCAATGTACACTGTCATTTAATGGCTTTATATTTTATTATTAATATGCTCATTTATTATTATGTACTTATTTTTCTGAACTGCCTTTGTCAAGCTGTCATTTTTACACCCATAAAGGTAAAATCAGAAGCCATCAACATGACTTTCCTTTCAGTAGGGTAGTGGCAATACTTCCACAAAATGAAGATCTGTACTTGTAATCTGCTTTGAACTTTCAATGAATAAAGTCCACTCAGTAAAACTATATACAGATCACATTCTCAAGCCCAAACTTCTTACCTTTCCTTAATAAAAACGCTTCTTTTGTTATGTTCTTCAGTAACTATTTCAGTGTTGAAAATTTAAACTTGTGATTATTTTTCTTAATGAGCTCTTATAACTTGAGACTAAAGACGATATAATCTTCTGTAAAAAGATTTATTACATATACAGTGTTCTTCCTACATGTATGACTGCAGGCCTAGGGACATTTTCTTAATTAGTGATGGATGTAAGTGGGGCCACCTTTGGGCAAGTGGTCCTGGGCTCTATAAGAAGCTGACTAGTATGCAGCACCCCTCCATGGCCTCTGCATCAGCTCCTGCCTCTAGATTCCTGCTTTGTTTTGAGTTTCTGTCTTGATTAGCTTTGATGATAAACTGTAGTGTGGAAACACAAGCTTAATAAGCCCTTTCCTCCTTCTTTTTTGGTTATGGTCTTTAATTGCAGCAACAGAAATTCTAAGACAAGTTGGTACAAGTGATGTGGGAAGTCCTTCTGTATATGTGTTGCTTTTATTGATTAATGAATAAGGAAGCTGCTTTGGCCTGTAATAGGGCAGAGTAGCACAAGGCAGAAAACCTAACTGAATGACGGGAGAAAGAAGGCGGAGTCAGTGACAGGTCATGTAGCCACCAGAGTAGACAGATGTGCCCCAGAACTTTATCAGTCAATCAGAAACCTCATGGTAAAATATAAAGTAATGGAAATGGGCTAATTTAAGACACAAGAGCTAGCTAGCAATATGCTTAAGCTATTGGCCAAGCAGTGTTTTAAATAATATAGTTTCTGAGTGGTTACTTTGGGTCTAGGCAGCAGGGATGAACGAGCAACCTTTGCCAACAGATTGGCGCACCAACATGGGCTGAGATTATTCACATAAAACATGGGAGAGTTTTGGAAGGAATTCTAGACACAAAATAAACAGAGTTTAGCACAGCTTCATGGAGCCACAAATATTTTTTTTTGGAATGGGCTCACAATGAGCAGGGGTGCCACAACTTCTTTGAGAGAGGTACAGTAAAACTTTGCCTCTTCTTTAAAAATGGCAGATTCCTGATTCGCCAGCACAAATGGCTATGATTCTTTCTGGAAGTCCTGCTATGGAGCATTTGAATAGAGTTTTTGAGCAGAGTGATACAACTTGCTTAATGGCAACACAGATCTGTTGTGTGCCTGAAAATGGGGCGATGTGCATGGCTCTCAGAGGTCATGAACATACCTCTGTCATGTTGGACTGAGCGGAACCAACAGGCAGGACCGCAGAGTTGGTCCTAGCCATGCCCACTCAGCATTTTTTTAAAAAGCTGTTTCTGATCAAAAAATAATACAGATACGCATGCAATAAAGACAAATCCAGATGAAAAAGACTTCTAAATGGGTTACAGTGTTTGATAAATGTACATTGGCTTGGGAAAGAGAAGAAATAGATATAAAAAGAAGTAAATGATTTTTTTTAAAAAGGTAAAGCCTTTAAAGAGAAACAGTACAGAAAGTCGTAGATTAAATAGATTAAACGAGTAAAGAAAACTAAGCCACATAAAGATGGAAAATACACAGTCTAGATTATGCATATTATTGTATCTTCTTTGAATATTTTGACTGTGAATGAGCTAAGTACAGAAAAACATTTCATTGTACATGTTGCTTTTATTGGTTAATGAGTAAAGAATCTGCTTTGCCCTGTGATCGGGCAGAGTATATTTAGGTAGGAAACCTAAACAAAATACTGGGAGAAAGAAGGCATAGTAGGTGAGATGTCATGTACCCATTGGAGGAAACAGACGTGACCTGGAACTTAACAAGTAAACCACGACCCTCGTGGTAAAATATGAAATAATGAAAATGGGTTCATTTAAGTATAAGAGCTAGCTAGCAATATACTTAAGCTATTGGCCAAGAAGTATTTCAAATGATACAGTTTCCATGTGATTACTTTGGATCTGAGCAGCCAGGAACAAATGAACAGCCCCCGACTACATACCAGGAGTGGGGTATTGTTACAGGCCTGACAATGCTATTGGCAGGTGGAAGTTGCTGTTATCATGATGTATCTTCACAGCAACAGAACAGAACAAAGACAGAAGCTGGTACAGGGATTGTAGGACATTAATGTGACAGACCTAATGGTGTTGTTTTGGGGAAGACTGTGGAAAGACATAGGAACTTTGGCTAGAAAAGTTGCTGAATGTTGAGAGCTCAGTGTTCTGTAAATATGGAAGATAAGAATAGTGAGAACAATGCAAATGATGGAGACCTGGTTTGGGAAGTTTCAGGAGGAAATTAAAAGACTCTACTGGAGCCATTTGTTATTTTGAATGAAAGGGAAAAAATTTGCCAATTATACATCAGTCAGAGAATTATTAATAGAATTCACAAAGAAAAACTTTTAGGAAAACCAACCAATCAAAAAATGGTCTACAGATAAAAATCAAGGAATTCTCAAATGAATTACAAATGATGAAAAAAGAGCTTTAAAAAGTGTTCAACATCTTTAGCCATCACTGGAATGCAGAAAAAAACCTACCTTGAGAGTTATCTCACCCTAGTCAGAATGCCTATTATGAAGAAATCAAATGTCAACAAATGCTGGTGAGCGTGTAAAGGTAAAGAAACCCTTATTCCTTGTCAGTAGGACCGCAGAGTGTTATACTGACTATGGAAATCAGTGTGAAGATTCCTCGATAAGACAGAACTGTCATGTTCCAGCTATCCCATTCCTGGGATT